AAGATGGGTGTTCTTAATCAGCTTTCTCCTTGCTATAGCTGTCCAGGTTGGCTCTCTCCATTATACTATAATTATGTTTCCCTGCCTAAGAATCCACTGCTTCTTTGGTCAAATTTAATGCATGAACTCAGCTTATGATTTCTAAGACCATTGGATTATTAGCTGTTGAGACATTGTGCTTTTATTAAAAAAATGCTCTTTTTCTGATTTGTTTTTTATTTTTGTTTTGCTTTTGATGTATACCAGTTCCTGCTTTTCAGTGTTAGAAGTTAATCATATATTCTGGTTTTGTAAAGACAAGTGCAAGAAAGACAGACTGTAATGTGGAGCTTTGTCTTAGGATTTATATTGGATCATTAGATTAGAATTAACCATGGTTTAGATGTTTTCTTTCAGCACAATTGCATTATTTGGGCACGTACCGTTATCTAGACTTAAAACCAGAGTTTCAGCCTACGTTACCACAATATTACAAAGAAAAACAGCTGCCTTAGGTGTTGACTGTCTGATGTTGAAAGAAGGTAGAAGGTAGAAGATATGTTGTGTCGTTCTGGTGGAATGTGAAACAATATTGAATTGTGAGAAGTTCTTTTCTGTTGTTAGATTTTGGGATTATATTTCTAGTTTATGCCTAATTATATATTTTGTAACTGGAAGAAAGTCAATAAATCAGTGAATTGAGGACTAAAGGGAATCAGTGCTGAACACACTAGCCGAAATAATTTTAAATGGAAAAAATATTAGCAGATTTATTTGGATTCCTATGAACTGCAGGAAAATGGAGCCTGCAAGAAAGGAACTCTGCCATCCCTTATCATGAAGAGCAGCCTAGCCAGCTAGCCTAAGGTATTGCTGACTAACAAGGTAGTCTGTTGGATCACTGCGGTACTAGGTACCCAAATTTCACAGGTGTTCGGTTAAGTTAACCTCCATTTTGATGGCTGATCTGTATTCAGGCCTCTGTTGGAGCTGGAACACTGTACTAAACTGGTAATTGAGGATGATTTTTTTGATCCCAGTGCTTTTCTGAGATTATATGGTGATTTCAGTAAAGGTGGGCTTAGTGTCAACCACTTATGTTCAGCCATACTCACTACTGCAAAAGCCATGTGACTCCGGTATTATTTGTCGTATTATTTTATAGTTACAGTTTGAAAGAAAAAGCTGCTTTTGGCCTCCTTCTGTTCCCGACAATATTTTCTGTTTTGCCAGGCGTGCGTTATTTAGTTTGTTGTTGGAAGAATTCTAGGAAAACTCACCATTTCTGTTCTTCAGGCAGATGAAATGCATTACATTAATTCTGCATTAAGGGAATAAAGGAGGCTGCTATATGTGAATGTTTAGATAGGTAGCCGTCTGCTTCTTAGAAAGAAAAATGAATGACCTTACTGCCTGGTAAGTGATTTTACTTCATGTCACTTGTGGCTAGAGCGAAAAATATGTTTGGAGTTTTGGAAATACAAAGACAGATAATAAGGCAAAAGTACTACTAACAAAGAAGGTGGTGATAATTGAAGTTCATAATTAAGGTATATTTGACTGAATCAAATATGTTACCTATTTGTCTTTACCTGTACTGCTTCTTAACTTTAAAAAAGTTGCATTGCTTCTTTTAATTAATCATGAGATGATAGGCCGTAAACTTTGGCTTAGGTATTATTTCCAAGCTGTTCTCATCAAGAGGGCTTGTAACTTCAGCAAAAATGAAAGCTGAGGATATTTTCAGGCAGTCGGAATCGAGGCCTTTGGGATCGAGGTTTTGAGGCCAGAACAGGCAATGAAATGATCTAGTGTGACCAATGAACGCAGGTCACAGCATTTCATACAGTTACCCAAGTAGCGAGCCTCAAATCTGATCACCGAATGACTTTCACAACTGTTTCCCCTATTAGTTGAATGCCCTATTGTAATGTATGATATTCACCAGTATAAAATCTCATTGTTCCCTTATAGGAGCCAATCATTTCCATAATAACCTTAACTATTCTGTGGCTTTTCTATATAGATTCAATCATAATAAATACATATCTTGCTTTCCTTCGAACATCAGGCAACTTCTAAGTTGCTGGATGGACCAACATATTAATAGTCAGGTATGAAGCTTTATGAGTACAGTTAGTGCTTCCCAAGTACATTCCCAAGTTGCTGGGATTGCTTTTGAGATGTTTGATTCCCACTGCTGGAAACTGGGAGTTAAGTGGAGAAGCTTTGAAGAGAGTCATCACAGGGTTGGCGCAGAAGGAAATCACTTAGCCCTTGCTATGTGCCCTGCTGTACAGGATTATGGAGTTCTTGGTTTAGTCTGAGCGTGGGTTCATGTAATTTTTTGGAGCAGCCGCGACTGTATTCAGTGTTGCGCTTCTCCGGAAATGGCAGATTACAAGAGTGGAGGAGTAGACAAGCAATTTTTCTTCAGAACCTGGTATACTGTAAGCGGTGCCAAAGACACAAGAGCAGTAGTAGACACAGCATGAAGAAAAAACAATTACATCCCTGAAAAGAGGATGTGATGATAATCCAAAATATGTATGTTTGGGGCTGTGTTTATGAACTAGGAGCAGAAAGGGTTCTGCAAAGATTTAGTGTGCTAGAACAGTATTGAGGGTATACAACCTTCCAGTAAAACCATCTTTTAAGAGAGGGAAGAAAATGCCAAGTGTCAGAATAGAGCTAGATATTATGCTATCTTGGCAGAGTGTAATGTTGAAAAATTAGTAATTCAAAGCCAAGAATTTCAGGGACAATAGGTAGAATCCTGCTTAATGAAAGCTTAGTCTAATCTAAATGGGATTTAAAGCCCATTGTAAAGAAAGGCACGGTATCTTTTGTTATCATGCCTCCAGGATGTGAACGCTTTTGTTGCCCCGCAAACACTCCCACCTCAGGTGTTGAAGGGACATCTTTTGCTGTTAGCGGAGGAATTTCAAACATGGAATATAGATACCCTTAAAAGAGTAATAATGTTGATCTCCAAATTTGAATTTTAATATATTCGATTTGTAGCATTTTAACATTGATGATCTCTCTCTCTCTCTCTTTCCCCCTTTCTCCCTCCCTCTTTGGTATTCTTTAAGAGGTCCTAAATTAAAGTAGTTAGGGATGGCTAATCAAATTGTGCTTGTTCCTCTGCTGACGCAGCTCCCTCTGCTGTGCTGACGAACACGCAGGCTTCTGCAGCCACCTGGTGAATGCGACTGGGGAGCCGACCGATGGCAAAATGACCCCCCCCAAAACGATGAGAAGGTGGCTTTGGGAGGTTGCCTGCTTGGTTCCCTTTTCCAAGGGAGGGGTGCTGTATCAGTTTGCCCGCTTGTTTTCAAGGGCTTCTTAGCACTGCTGCTGTAAAAATCTACTGCACACCATGGGCTGAGTCAACTGCTTTGGCAACAACTCAGAAAGTGCAAGATAACGTCCCTGTGTGAACGTGCAGCGGAGCAGAGGTTTCGGGCCTCCTTCCCCACCCCTGCCCCACCACCTTGTCTAAAAACACTCAAAGGCGCCTTTCTGTATTCTTGGTAGTCCTCTGACTTAGCTGCCTTACCTGTTTTCAGTACTTTTTTTTCCTTCCCTTCCCGAGTTAAGCAGCGTTCATTAATAGCAATTTTTATTTGTGCGGAAAGTATAATGAAGTAGCTGAGGCTCGTTGCGTTCAGAGTGGTGCACCTCTTCTAACGAGGGGGGAAAAAGTGCTGTTGAAAGACTTAACTGTGAACGTTTCCGTTAGTGATTAATTTTACTTCCTCTGTCTTCTCTTCTCTGGAAATGACAGAAAAAAACAATAAAAGCACTTTCTCGATCCCGTAGCGACCTTTCTCCTTTAACCTGCCATACTAGCACTTTACATGCAGTTTTATTTCATAAAAGGAATTTTTGAAGGGAATTTAATTTTCTTCATTGTTTCAGCACTTTTTTTTTCCTTTTAGGTCGTTTTGGAAACTTTAATATATCTATTGTGTTTTTCCATCTGTTTCTATGTGTTTTTTCACAAGATGGCATTTTCCACCCCTGACGTCTTTACTGCTAAATGGAACGGTATCTTTCTGTGAGCTATTTAAAATCCTTTGTATTCCAAGAAAAAAAAATACTTAAGAGGTAGTTTAAAGCTATGCATGTTACACTGATAAAATATGCTACAAGTCTGTTAAGGTAAATGTTAAGGACAGAAAATCCAAGTCATAAGGACCAAGGAGTTTTTTTTTTTCATCCTTTTTAAAAAATATTGTGTAGGAAATTTTTCTTTTTCTTAAATGAGTATGTGTGATGGGATTA